ATGCTTAAAAGGGAAATCTTGAATATATTTATAGCTTGATAAAGGTTCGACGAAGCTTCATAAATTTCTATGGATATACTCAAAAAAAAATCAGTCAACAGCCAACTAATTTAAGTCTCGTAAAAATTTAAAGGATTTATACCCCTTGATGAGACCTTTAAGCCTAAATCATGTAGACTTATGAATTCTTTATATTTGCTTAAAAGATGGTAGTTATCTCAAAATACTGGCAAGAGGACTCCATATTTTAGCCTACCAAAAAACAGCATGACCCCTGTGAACCCGATGCCATTAGTTTGTTGGATAATTCTAACCTTTTGGGCCGTTTGGCTCAGGAAAGAAACTGCAAAACTTTTATTATTCACGAGGGAAGCCCGGTCAAGATTGCCAGTATCCATTCCAATTCCATCATCCGGCTCCTCTGTCCAGTGATCTTTTTCCCCATCATCTTCGTCCGTGGCAATTGGCAGGCCCGAGGCTGCAGCGACAAGGCTGGCCATCAGACCTGCTTCAAAGCTAGCAGATAAATCCTCTGTAATTCGGTAATGGCGTAGATCAAGAGGGGTTTGTTGGCTACCGCTGTGGCTCTCAAGTGAAGTGTCTTTGACTTTTGCTTTCCCTTGAGCATCTTCTTTTTCATCTAATTTGTCATCCATCATTTGCCCATTTGGGTCTTCTCTGAGCGAATGTAGCCCCGACAGATTAGTCCGCTGGCAAGGAGCGAGAGACGTGAAACCTGGGCCCGTGATAGCGGCTTCCAGCTCCTTTCTCAAACAGAAATCGTCACCAAGTTTGAAAGTTGGGTGAATTTCCTTCCTTTCTGATGCCTGAAGAATGGAAGGAGCATCGGAACGGAATATGAGAGGGACCGTGTCATCCAGCGACTTTATATCGCTGAAGTGGCGGGGATCCCAAGCAGTGGTGGAATCAGCGCAGGCCCCGAGTTCCTGACGAGGAAGCCGCTGAGATCTTAAGAAAACTGTGCCCAAAGCACAAGGTGGAGCCTGTTATAAAACGCAGTGTGTAAAAGGGATGAGCAACATTAGGGATATGCGAATAGAGAAAGTAACAAGATATTTGGGCTCGAGGTAAATGGGAAGCATTAAACTTATCGGATAATTAATGCTAGATTTACCCTATAACTAAGCTGATGGTCTCCAAATAGAAAACTGTGTAGGATTTGCAGTTTCGATTTGTCCTGGGTCGCCCGCCAGGCTGGTGATTATACGTGCTCGAGGTAGAGTCTGTCGGGTCAGATAACCCATACACTCAAGTGAAAGCTGATATCAAGCTTTTTCAGATTATCGTCAGGTCACTGTTAAGCCCTCTTTCTTAAAAGTCGTAGGGTTCTCGTAAGATAAATGCACGAGAGCAAAGAAAGTACATTGGACATTTAGGGTTCGACATCAAGTCAATATGAAGCGACAATGAAATATATTTAACCCAAAAAATAAAGCTAGCTAGCAATAGGATGTCCTATATCTTGGGTGTATCTTGCATATGAAGTGGTTTTTAATTCTTGTGAGGGCAAATCTATGACGGCTTTAGCAATTGAAAGTTGTGTTCAGAGTCAGCATATCCT